GAACTGTCTATACTTACATCATATAAAATAGATTTTAAGACCAAATTTTTTACTAGATGCAAAGGTCATTTTATAATGTCAAAAGGACCAATCCATCAAGAAAGTATAACAATCCTAAACATAAATACATCTGAAAATAGAGCCCCAAAACACATGAATCAAAAACTAAAAGAACTGCAAGAATAAATAAGCAATTCAATAATAGTACTGAGATATTTCAACACTCCCCACCTCCTCAATAAAAAACAGAAAAACTAGACAGAAGATCAACAAGGAAAAAAGGACTTGGAAATACTATATTCCACCTAGACCTAACAGACATCTATAGAATACACCATCTAACATTAGCAGGCTACATATTTTCTCAAGTACCTATGGAATATTCTCCAGGATAGACAATATTCGACTACAAAACAAATCTCAATAAATTTAAGGGGACTGAAATCATACAAAGTATGTTCTCTGACCATCTTACAAATCAATAGCAAAATACACAAATATGTGGAAATTCGACAACACAACCTTATATAACATAATGGATCAAAGAAGAAATCACATAGGAAACTAGAAAATGCATGAAAACACAAATACAACATACTAAAATATGAGAAACAGTTGAAGCAGTGTTCACTGAGACTTTATAGCTGTAAACTCATTTTTTAAAAATCTCAACGCTATATTTTGACCATCCACTTTAAGAAACTAGAGAAATAAATAAATAAAAGGAGCATATTAAACCCAAAGCAAGCAGAATGAAGTAATAAGCATGAGAGCAGAAATAAAATTGGGAACAGGAGGAAAAAAAATCAATGAAACCATAGCTTGGTCCTCTGGAAAGAGGGGGTGGATTGTTATGGTCTGAATGTGTACCCATCAAATTCCTATGCTGAAATCATAACTCAAAAAGCTGGTGGTATTAGAAGGTGGGGCCTTTGGAAGGTGATTAGGTAATGAAGGTGGAGCACACATGAATGGAATTAGTGCTCTTATAAAAGAGATCCCTATCCCTGTCTATCACATGAGGACCCAGGAAAGAGGGCTCTCACCAGAATGCAACCATGGTGGCACCTTCATCTTAGATTTCCCTGCCTCCAGAACTGTGAGAAATGAATTTCTGTTATTTATAAACTACATAGTCTGTAGTATTTTGTTATACAGTCAAATCTCGGTCCTTCAACATCTTCCGATGTTCACGGAAAATGTCTTGGTTGTCAGGTTCTTGACTGACAACCCTTTCATGCTGATACCTGTATGATCACTCACAGGTCTCTCAGGCGACAAATGAGAGAATATGCAAATGAGAGTATGAGTCAGTTTCCCACTAAACCTCCCAGGAAATTGTGCTCTGAATATTTTCATGTTGTTTTACTTTTGTTAATGCTTATTATTATTATTAAATACATACAGTAAGTTACCATGGGTCCTAAGAAAGTTAGTGATAGCAGCAAAGTGAAAAGGAAAGTTGTGAGAATGATAGAGCTTAAAAAAGAAATAATTGCAAAGTATGACAGAACTGTTTGCGCGCCTGATCTGGCTACTGAGTGTGGCACGGTGAAATCGATGATTAGCACAATTTTAAAACATAAAGAGGCCTTCAACAATGCTGATATGGAAGAGAAAAAAAAAGAATGTTGATATGCCCTGGCCAGTGTGGTTTGAGCATCAGCCAGCGCACCAAAGGTTTACAGGTTGGATTCCTAGTCAAGAGCACGTACCTGGTTTGCAGGTTTGGTCCCCATTCCCAACAAATCAATCGATGTGTCTCACATCGATGTTTTTCTCTCTTTTGCAATCTCTCTCTCTCTCCCGCTCACTTCCTCTGTCTCCCCACACCCCTCTCTTCCACTATTTCTGAAAAATCAATGGAGAAAATAACTTCAGGTGAGGATTAACAAGAACAAAAAGTGCAGATGTGGCTAACGGTGTAAAAGTGCTCACAAAACAATGATCACAGGCAATTAAGAAAGGTTAAAATAGCTAATTATTTGGGGGTCTGGAAGACATTAATTTAATTTACGTTATTTCTAAGGGGAAATATGACTTGGTTTTTCAAACAAACCACTTCTTGAACAGCCTTTTGGAACAAATTAAGTTCAAGAACTGACGTTCCACTGTATCAGCCTGGATGAGTTAAAACAAGGATATATCTCAAAGTCAGAAATGAAAGAGGGGAATATTATAATCTAACAACCTATGGAAATAAAAAAATAAAATAAGGGAAAACTATAAACAATATTTTTGTAACCTATATCAAATGGATAAATTCCTAGAAAGATAAAAACTACCAAATCTAACTAAAGAAGAAAATGAAAATCTAAACAGACCCATAAAAACCTAAGAGTTTGAATCAGTAATCAAAACTTCTCACAAACAGCCCTAACCGGTTTGGCTCAGGGGATGGAGCGTCGGCCTGGAGACTGAAGGGTCCCCGGGGTTCGATTCCGGTCAAGGGCATGTACCTTGGTTGCGGGCACATCTCCAGTTGGGGGATGTGCAGGAGGCAGCTGGTCGATGTTTCTAACTCTCTATCCCTCTCCCTTCCTCTCTGTAAAAATAAATAAAATATATTTTTTTAAAAAACAAAAAAACTTCTCACAAACAAAAACCCAAATCAAATAGTTTCACTGGTGAATTCTACCAAACATTTAAAAAAGAATTAACCCAATCTTTCACAAATCCTTCCAGTCTTATTCAATGAGTCAGCATTATCCTGATACCAAAAGCAGAAAAAGGCTTCAAAAGTTTAAAAGCAATATCCTTTATGAATATACACACAAAACCTTCAACAAAATATTATCAAGCCAAATCCACCAACATATAATAAAAATTATACATACACCCGCAAATCAAATCCAGTAAAATAACCGAAAATCAGTTCATAAGCTCTGGATCTTCACCTCCTATAAATTCTTCAAAACCAAGGAAACCAGGCATATATCCCTACCATTCCATTAAAATGTGTTAGAAAAAAGTTACTAATAACCTTCTAAAAATAGGACCTATTATCTCTGCAAGTCTTTATGAAGCTACTAGAGATCCAGTGCACGAAATTCGTGCATGAGTAGGGTCCCTAGGCCTGGCCAGCAATCAGGGTCAATCGGGGCCTTCCAGCTGCCAGCCGGGGTCTTCCTTCATTCTGCGCTGCCCCCTGGTGGTCAGCACACGTCGCAGGGAGCGATCGAACTCCCGGTCTCCTGGTCGAACTCCTGAGGGGACACTTTGCATATTAGCCTGTTATATATATACTAGAGGCCCAGTGCACAAAATTTGTACATGGGTGGGGTCCCTAGCGGCTGCAGGCTGCCAGCTGCCAACAGGGACCTTTCTTCTTTCCATGCCACCTCCTGGTGGTCAGTGTATGTCATAGAGAGCGATCAAACTCCCTGTTGGTTGAACTTCCAAGGGGACACTTTGCATATTAAGCTTTTATATATAGAGATAGATTCTCTTCCTGAAACTCTATTCACTTCATTTTAAAATACCTCTAATTCAGATTTTCTCATCTGCTAGCCACAAAAAAAGTAATAGGATAGTCTGAGTTCTAGTCCTAACCGTGCAGATAATTCATTATGATAATGTTAGCTATTAATTATTGAACTGTTATTATACATATAACATTTTATAAATATTACCAGTGGCCCTGTGCACGAATGCGTGCGCCAGTAGCTCTCTGCAGGTCCTGGCCGCTCCAGGCCCGCTGCCCATAGGCTCTCCGTGGCCCAGAGGCCCATCCACAGCCAGGCACAGCCAGAGGCCCATCTGCAGCTAGGCACGGAATGCTTGCCTCATCGCCAGGGCAACAACGCAAGCATTCAGCACCCAATCCTGGCCAAAGGCCCATCCGCGGCCAGGGTGGAACACCAACAGTTCCCCCCACTCCCACCCCAGCTGCTCCATGCCCGCTGCCCAGAGGCCCTCCGTGGCCAGGGTGAAATGCTTGCCTCGTCGACACAGAGACAAAGCAAGCATTCCACCAGGCTGATCACACTGCCAACTCTCAGCAGCCACCCTACCAGGACTGGGGGACTCTGGCAGGACTGAGAGGACTGGGCACCACCATCTTGTTGCTATGGGCGTCGCCATCTTTTGTGACGGAGTGATGGTTAATTTGCATATTACCTTTTTATTAGATAGGATTTTATACAATCCTCTAAACAACTTTAGGCTAATTTTCTATTTGTAAAATTAGAGTATCTAAGAAGCAGAGAAGTTAAGTGAGATGCCAAAGGCATATCCATTATTTGAATAATTAGGTCTGTTTAGCTTCAAAGTTGGCCTTTTAATTTTGTCTCATTGTAACATGAAGCAAATCCTTTACATCTTCCAATATTTGGTTCCTTCATCTGAAGGAGGTTGCATATATATCATCTCTGAAGCCCACATACCTCATACATTACAATGAAATTAAAAGCTTTATTAAAAACTTTTCTCAAGTTAAAGAAAAGACACTAAGACATGGAAAATGTTCCAAAGGCACAATGCTCACAAAGAGCACAGAGATAACTGCTGTTTTCCTATTCTGATATTTTGCCTGGAATTTAGAAAGTTGAACAGTTCTATATACCCATTTTAAAAATCTCCTAGCAGCCCCAGGCCAGGTAGCTCAGTTGGATGGAGTGTTGTCACATACACCAAAAAGTTTGCAGGTTCAGATTCCCAGTCAGGACACATACCTAGGTTCTCAGTTTGATCCCCAATTGCGGAGCAAACAGGAGGCAACCAATTGACATTACTCTCTACTTCAATGTTCCTCTCTCTCTCTCTCTCTCTCTCTCTCTCTCAATCCATAAATCATATCTTTAGGTGAGGATTTAAAAAAAATAATCTCCTAGCAGCCTCAGAAAAAGTGCACTGTTCTGTCCATGACAGAAATGGCAATTATGTGTAAAGCTATGCATGGTATAAACTGAATTAAAGATCCTAATATATAAACATTCTAAAAGTCAATCAGCATTATATAAGTGTTAACTTGATCTAATTATACAAATGAAAATATGTACCGTTCATTATGCTCTTGATAAACGAGTCTGGACTTCTCCAGTAGATATTTTTCAACATAGGCACTAGAAGAAAAATAAAATTGGTTAGTATAATTAATATAAGGTAGACAAATATTTTTTCAAAGAAGATGAAAAAGTATAAAGAAGGCTATCCAGATCATTTCAGTACATTTACCATTAGTAAATGTGTATGGATACTGTTAAGAGTCTTATCCATGTTTGATTCATAAACTCATGAATCTTTTTGTTTTATTGTTTTGCTTTCAATAAGCAAAATAAAGCCAGAAGTTCAAAACATGGCACACAAGAACTTCCTGTAACATAAGGTAGACCTTACTTTCTTTCTAGGCTCATCTACCACACTGTACATTATTTCAAATATAATACTTTGGCCAGACTACTAAATAGGACTCAAAAATATACATTCTTTACATATTAATGCTATTGCCACATTCTGAAATCAATTATTATTTACTGATTTACTCGGAAAGTATTCATTAATTGTGCACTGTGCAAAGCATTGTTCAAATATGGAAATACATGATACACTACCTATTCCCAAGGGGATTACAAAATAGTGGAGAAAATAAGTAAACTAGCAGCTACAATACTGAGTTGATTGGGTTTATTATAGAACAATAACCAATTATAGATGTAGTAGGAGGAACACATAAGATTTAATCCAAGAAGGAAAAAGGATGTAAGGAAGAATTCTCACAGAGGTTGAATACATAGTGCATAGTAAACATTTATTAAATATACCTAGTAAGTGACTAAATGACTCTGAAATCTGAAAGATTGCCCAGAATAAGATAAGGAGAACTGCCTTTATGTAAAGGCATAAAAGAACGAAACCTATCAACTTTAGGGAAGATACTTAACATGGCTAGAGAATGAGACAGGCAAGTGGATTAGATCAAGAACAATATATGGTGTGCCAGAAGAAAGGAATTTATCCTGAAAGTAATAAGGAACTTAAACATGAATTGTATTTCTGATGTTATTATCTTTATCCAGTCTGTGTCCTTCAAATCTTTAATACCTCTTTATCCAAATTGGAGCAATCGGTTAAGCTCTAACAAGAAAAAGAAATTCTACAAATATAAAAGCTTTAGACTACTGAATCCAAATTACTTAGCATTAATCTCTTGGGGTCAAAATCTGATTCTTAAGTTTTTATTTCCCTCAGTTCCCTCCCAGAGCATGCTCTGTATTTCAGCCACTCCCAAATATAGGCTAATCCCTCAAGAAAGATATTCACTCCTGAATATATTGTTCACGGACTTCCTTCCACTTCTAATTCTATAGACTATTCTCACTATCTAGTAGATTCAATTCATTCATTAAAATGAAGCTCAAATGTACCTTCTTTGCAAACTGTCACTACTACCACCAGTAATTAAAATTTATCATTTCTTCTGAATTATCATTATTACCTCTAATCTAAACTACTGAAACCGGGTCTTATTAGTCTAAAATGGGAAAAGGAGAACTAACAAACTAGTGTGTTAAATTCTTATACACACCCTGCATATCTTTGAGTATTAATTTCTCCACTTATAAAATAAAGGCATCTATGTTAATAAGTGAGATTGATCTGTATTTTGATTATGCTTAAGTCTTATCACTTTACTTTTTATATGTATGTATGTATGTATGTATGTAATTATATGAGTTTATTTCAGTCAAGCTGCCGATATATGCTGGGAAGCAAGACCTCAAATGCTTCTGCATTTAGATTTAAAATTTTTGACCAACACTATATGTATTCTTACCCCTCCCCTCCAAGAAAACAAAAGCAAAAACAAGGATAAATTATTACAGTGGCAAACAAGTTTCATAGCTCATTCCTTTCCTGAGTTGAGGAATGTTAGTTTTCAAAGGTCAGTTGGTACTTTTACTCATAAAAGCGGGATGCAGTCACGTCTGGCTGCTCTTTCCTAGTATTTATGTTGTTGGAGACGTTACTAATGGGTAAAGTTGAGTATATTGCTTTGTAACTTACAAAGTAGCATTATATATATTCATTGATTCTTAAGACAGTTTAATGACTTAGAAATGGCTGATGTTTATTTTCTCATTTTATAAATGAAATTCAGGATCCTCTATGTTAAGTGACTACCTAAAAGGGTTCAACTTTCTCTTAAATCAATAATGATCAAAAAAATATTCATCTTGAGTAGTAAGTCAACAAATAGACCCAAGATAAAAAATCACCTTTCGAGTGCTCTCCCTCCCAGGAGCATGTTGGCATCTTCCCCTTTGCTTTCTTCTTCCCCTACAGGCATGCGTCACCTAAACTCTAAGGGACCCATGAGATGGTCAACCAGGGAAGAAATGGGCAGAGGCAGCTAACCCACCAAATCTGACTTCCCAGCAAGCTAAAGCAGCCCCACCTCGGCTCATTTTTTCCCTATAACATTTTTATTAAATTTATCTTTATTTATGGATAAATAAAGATATCCCCTATTCCCCCACTGATCCCCTTGACCTCACTCCACACAACCCCAGATCTTCTCAGTACTATTGTCTGTGTCCATGGAATATGCATATACATGTATAAATTCTTTGGTTAATCTCTTCCTAAATCCCCTACCCCCTTCCCTCTGAGATTTTCAGTCTGTTCCATGCTTCCATGGCTCTGGATGTATTTTGTTCATCAGTTTATTTTATTCACTAGAGGCCCGGTGCACAAAAATGTGTGCACAGGGGGAGGAGGGGTGTCCCTCAGCCCGGCCTGTGCCCTCTCGCAGTCTGGGACCCCTCGGGGGATGACCATCTGCTGATTTAGGCCCGCTCCCCGGGGGATTGGGCCTAAGCTGGCAATGAGACATCCTTCTGGCAGCCCGGGAGCCCTCGGGGGATGTCCACTTCCCAGTGGAGAGCAGGCCTAAGCTGCAGTCTGACATCCTTAGCGCTGCTGAAGAGGCAGGAGAGGCTCCCACCACCACCACTATATTGGCAGCCATCAGCCTGGCTTGTGGCTGAGCAGAGATTCCCCCTGCAGGAGTGCACTGACCACCAGAAGGAAGCTCCTGCAATTGAGCGTCTGCCCCCTGGTGGTCAGTGCGCATCATAGCAACCGGTTGAACGGTCAAACGGTTGCTTAGGCTTTTTCTTTGTATTTCAAAATTCCTTTTGAATTTTATATATGTGCCTGTCTTAGTTTTTCAAAACCCAAAACCAAAACACACTGAAAGCAGGTATCTGGGGTTTATTTACCTTCTATAATTGAAACTTTGTTGCCTGAGTGGAGCTCAGAGCCGGCCAGGGCGGGTAGGAGGGAAAGCCTCCTGCACTCCAGCTCCGTGGCCACGCCGGCTGAAAGCAGGTATCTGGGGTTTATTTAACTTCTATAATTGAAACTTTGTTGCTTAGAGTGTAGCTCTGATCCGGGCTGCGGCAGGCGGGGAACCTTGTCTTCCTCCATCACTGGAACAAGCAAGCCTCCTGCTCGTTCCAGCTCTGTGGCTTCCAGCTGCCATCTTTGTTGGAAGTTAATTTGCATATCTTGCTGATTAGCCAATGGAAGGCGTAGCGAAGGTATGGTCAATTACTATGTTTGTCTATTATTAGGTAAGATTAGATTCCAAAAGAAAAAAAGTTTTAAAAAATTTTAATGCAGACACCATTAAAAATCTGCTTCCCACTGTTGGTTTGGATCAGTGGATAGAGCGTCGGCCTGAGAACAAAGGGTCCCAGGTTCGATTCCAGTCAAGGGCGCACACCTTGGCTGCAAGCTTCTCCTGGGCCCAGGCCCTGGTCAGGGCTCACGCAGGAGGAAACCAATTGGTGTGCTTCTCTCACATCGATGTTTCTCTCTGACTTTCCCTCTCTGCCACTCTCACTAAATATCAATGGAAAAATATCCTTGGATGAGGATTAACAAAAAAGAAAAAAGGAAAAACAATGCTTCCCAGTATCACTAGTCTCATTAAAGAGCAAATGAACAATCTATGGCTAATAAAGGAACAATCCTATACAATAAAAGCCTAATATGCAATTCGACTGAACAGTGGAACGACCGGTCGCTATGACGTACATTGACCACCAAGGGGCAGACGCTCAATGCAGGAGCTGTCCCAGCCCGCAGTCCCCAGGGCAGCTAAGGTGAGTGCCAGTGGGGGGCACCCGATCACCCCGCCAGTCGCCCCACAGATCAACCCTGATCGCCGGCCAGGCCTAGAGACCCTACTCGTGCACAAATTTCATGCACCAGGCCTCTAGTCATCTATAATAATAAAAGGGTAATATGCTAATTAGACCAGATATCCTTCCAGACTAAGCTGGGGCCTGAGGAGAGGTGGGTCTCAAGTGCCTGCCAGTGGCTGGTGGAAAGCCCGGGTCCGGGAGCCTGCCAGCAGCCAGAGGGAGTCCAGGTCCTGGTTGCCAGAGGGAAACCAGTGCCAGCAGCTAGGGGACGGAAGGCCTACTCTTGCATGGATTTCGTGCATCGGGCCACTAGCAAAAATATAAACATGTTCCAAAGCCTGACATTGCTACTTACCCAAGTACAGTGCCTGTTTCTTGGTAATTTACTTGAATAAACTTGCCAAAACGACTTGAATTATTATTATGAGCTGTCTTTGCATTTCCAAAGGCCTGTCAAAATAAATAGTTCTCATTAATTTAATTTTCAAAAAATGAAAAATCCTATGTAGGAAAAATCCTAAGAAACAAAATGCTAAAGAAACAGCAGAAAAAGAATTCATTTATACCTTCACCCTCATATAGTTCAGATAAAGTAAAAGAAAACAACTACTAATTGAAATAAAAACAAGTGGGCAGTATTTAATGCTATTGGGTAAAATAAAACTTAATTTTAAAAACTTAATGCTGATTCAAATTTAAATTTCACGTTCTAGAATCAACAAATTATCATAATATATTTATATATATACTTTTAGTTAATTTACTTATTGATTTTAGACAGAAAAATATGAATTTGTTATACCACTTATTTATTCATTCATTGGTTGATTCTTGTATGTGCCTCGACCAGGAATGGAACCCACCACCTTGGCATATCAGGACGACTCTCTAACCAATTGAGCTACTCAGCCAGGACAATATATGTGTGGTATTTTTAATCTTGCTAAACTGAAATTTTAAAACGCTAGGTAAAATATACAACAAAATAATTAAAATTTTAGAATAGTATAAATAAAATGAAGTTTCATTGCATAATGTACTACAATTTATTACACCTAATTAAAACTAAAGTACAGTAATATTTTTAAAAGAATAAAAATACAAAGGCTCCCTAAATTATTACCTAAAGTATATACCATGCAATTAAATATTTCCCAGCAATAAAGTTGAATTACTGGTAATGACATCAATGTTGATGAATATTAAACATTATGTCACGGGGAGAAACCAGACACAAGAGTACATATTGTAATATGAAATTCTAGAAAAAACAAAACAAGAAAACCAGGAAGCATATTACAAGTTGTTTGGAAATAAGCATGGGGTTGAAAAATGTCTACAAAGGGGAGAAACAAGTTGGCGGCATAGGTAAACACCTGTACTTGCTGCTTCCCACAACCATATCAAAATTACAACTAAAATATAACAAGTATCATCCAGAACTGTGGGAAAGCTGACTGAGTAGAAGTGCTACAAGTAGAGAGGTAAAAAAGAAAGCGCACTGAGACTGATAGGAAGTGTGGGTGCATGGAACGGGCTGACACCCAGGTGTGCAGCTTTTTTAATTGGTAGGAAGATACACGCTCCCCCTTGCTCTGAGCTCCAGTGCTGGGTGAGGCTCCAGGGGACCCAGACAGTTAAGGGGAGAAACTGGACTGTCTGGCATCGGGGCAGGAACGCAGGGGCGGCTTTCTTCCAGATGGAGGTGCTGGCAATGGTCACTGTTCCTTTATTGGGACCACCCCCATCCCAGGGCTGAATGACAGCCATTGCTGTTTGATCTGCCCTGGAGAGTCCCTGACACCCCTCCTTCCCCTCTGTACAAACCCACACAAGCTGTGCCCAGTGGCTTTTGCATATGAATGGCCTGTCCTTTCTCAGCCTAAAACTTGTTAAATAAGCTGCACCTGGGTCAGGGAGCCCCAAAGCATCAAAAGAAGGCCCAAGGCTGCACCAGCAGCAGCCTGCCTTACTTCACAGCTGGGCCTCGTCTGAGCACTTCCAAACCTGATACAAAGAGGAGAAAATTGCAGATCTCTCTGTAGCTCCAGCTGGGTGGCCACAGGCAGTGGAGATCCAAGACTCAGTGTACCCAGTGGTCAGTGTTAAGACCATCCAGATTACAGCTCTTCACATCCATAAGCGACACACTCAAGGGACAGACTCAGTGAGCACCAAAGCCCCACTGAAGCAAGTCCTGCCCCATAAAAGTGTCTCCTGCACAGCAGCTCTTCCACTGTAAACACAGCTGGTCCCACAGCCAATTGGGCTGGAGGTCAATTCCTACCAGTGATACTAACAGCAATCAAGGCTCAACTGTAACAAGACTGTGCACACAGCCCACAAAGGGGTGCACCAAGAGTGTCAACATCAGGTGATTGGGGAGGCTGAGCTGCTGGGCCCTACAGAACATCTACTACACAAGGCCACTCTATCAACTCAAGGAGACTTAGCAGCTACCCAATACATAAAAATGAACACAGGCAAAATGAAGCAGGCAAAATGTGGAGACAAAGAAACATGTCACAAATGAAAGAAAGCAAACTATTGGATATAGAGTTCAAAACCAATTACAAGAATACTCAAGAATCTTCCAGAAACCTCCGAGGAACTTAGTCAGGCCTACAAGGATCTTAGTGAGAATGCCAAAAAAAAATGGAAAAGGACCAGTCAGAAATTAAGCTACACTGACTGAAATAAAGAATAATATACAAGGATTCAACAGTAGATTAGAGGATTCCAAGAATCAAGTCAATGATTTGAAATACGAGGAAGCAACGTGGACAGTGCCAGAAGAGGAAAACGAAAAAAGAATCCAAAAATATGAAGATACTGTAAGGAGCCTCTGGGACAACTTCAAACGTACCAACATCCGAATTAGCGGGGTGCCAGAAGAAGAGCAAGAGCAAGATATTAAAAACCTAGTTGAAGAAATAATAACAGAAAACTTCGCTTACCTGGTGAAAGAAATAGACTTACAAGAGAGACTTACAGAGAGTCCCAAACAAGAAGAATTCAAAGATGACCACACCAAGACACATCATAATTAAAATGCCAAGGGCAAAAGACAAAGAGAGAATCTTAAAAGCAGCAAGAGAAAAACAGTTACCTACGAGGGAGTACCCATACGACGGTCAGCCACTGAACGGTCCCAGGTTCAATTCCTGTCAAGGGCATGTACCTTGGTCGCCGGCACATCCCCAGTAGGAGGAGTGCAGGAGGCAACTGATCAATGTTTCTCTCTCATCAATGTTTCTAACTCTCCCTCTCCCTTCCTCTCTATAAAAAAATCAATAAAAAATATATTTTTTAAAATCTGATGAACAGAATAAACTGGTGAATTTAACAGAATAAGGGGCATGGAAATGGATCAGACTAACAACTCTTATGAGGAATGGGGTGGGGGGGTGCAGGAAGACTTGGACACAGATCTTATATGCATGTATGCAGTACCTATGGACGTGGACAGTGGGATGGCGAGGGCCGGGGGTGGGGTGGGAACCAGGTGAAGGGAAGCAATTGGGGGGGGGAAAGATGGACATCGGTAATAATCTGAGCAATAAAGATTTTTTTAAAACGTCTACAAAGGAGTACACAAGGGTAATAAAAACAGATTGACTATATTAATGTAGTTACATAGGTATATACATTTATCAAAAATTATTGAACTGTATGTTTTAAATGGCTATATTTTATTGTAAGTTATGTCTCAATCAAAATTATTAAAACTGAGATCTAAAAGAAAAAAAAAACGTTGAAATCACATATTCAACAACTTGAATCTACAAGACATAATGCTGTATCAGAGAAGCCAGTCTCAAAACTTTACATACTGTATGATTCCACTTATATGACATTTTGGGGAAGAAAAAAAGAACAGCAAAGGAGAAAAGACAAGTAGTTCCCACAAATAATAATATATTGGAGAGCAGAAATATAAAGATAAGCAATAGCATGAGGTAGTTTTATGTAATAGTGAGTCTAGTATATGCCCAGATTGCATATAAATGATTATTCAAATTAATATGTTTTAAAATTCATAGAATTTTTCTGTAAGGTTATTTCTTCACATAATAATACCTATTTGAAATCCTAAATCATTAGCAAATGAATGCCAAAAGAAGAAAGTTTTAAATACACTAATCTGAAAATATTCATCATAAGCCAAATCACACTAAAGGAAACATTAAATGAAGTCCTTCATGCAGAACGAAAAGTATATTTTCAAATATAAATCAATGTAAGGAATAGAGAACAGCAGAAATTGTAGTCACATGAGTAAGTATACAAAATATATTTTATTAGTTAAATCTTTTAAAAAGACCATGAGAATGGGTTTAGAGAAAATCCTATCTAATAAAGAGGAACTATACAAATTGACTGTCACACCATCACAAAGATGGCGGCGCCCATAGCCACAAAATGGCAGCGACCAGTTCCGTAGCCCCGCCGGAGTTCCCCAGTCCTCTCAGCCCCACCGGGAGGGTAGCAGGCACACAGTGTGACCGGACCCAACCTCAGCCCACCAGCTGCCCAGGGCCGGCCTGAGGTGCCGGCAAAAATTGGATGTCAGCTGCCCAGCCACCCAGGCCGGGCCCGAGGCACAGGCAAGCCTCAGATGGTGGCTGCCCAGCCACTCAGGGCCGCCCGAGGCTTGCGCTGCTGGCAGTGGCAGCAGCAGAAGTGTGATGGGAGTGTAGCCTTTCCCTGATCGC